AGAAGTCTTTAGATTTAAAAAGTGACATAACTACAAATGATGTGCACCTGCTAGAACCAGTATTCATTCAAAGTTGAGGGAAAAAATCCTCTGTTAAATCTCATGGTGAAATGAATTCAGTCACGCAAAAGGCAGAATTTATCTTGGCTACGGTGGTATGAATACCAAATAAACCCCAGAAACATAAAAGATAAGGCTCCAGATTTTCTCGGATGTCGTTTATTCCAGAATATCAAAAATTAATTCTCTGCAAAATGTTTCTGAGCTTTTTAATTTAATTTTAATTAAATTTTAATTTAAATTACTGACTTCATCTACTGGAAAAAGTAGTAGATGAGCATTCAAGAGGTGAGATCTTTGCTGTAGGATTAAGTGATGCTCTTGCTGATATAGATAGCAAAACTGGGTGGAAGAAGAGGTAGAGCAAGTCTTCATGGTGCAGCTTTGCTTTTCATCACGCTACAAAGACTTCTTACCACGCAGGCAGTAACCATAATCCCTTTTCATGCATGTGTTTACTTTTGGTAAATAAACTGCTGTGATGCAGACAGCCTTCTTACTTGCAATGGGTTGTGTTTAAATGCAGCATAAAAATTAAAAGAGAAATAATTTGTCGGAATACTTTGTGACCCCTGTATGTTTTCTGTCTTTGAATAACTAGTAATTTTGTGTAATACCTGGCTCTCATATGACATACTATGCCAGCTGTATCTAGTGGTGTTTACCTCAAGTCTGTCTCCACCAGTGGAGCCCACCTCTTCTTTGAGGAGCAGTGGCATTGTGTCAGAATGGAAAATTCCGGGGGGGGGAAAACAAAACCAAACCACTATCATTCTTTCCTTGCCTTCATTTTGTTTGATTTGTAGTCTGCTGGGGGCAGCACAGATGAAGTGAGCCTTTTGGCAGAGCCACTGGAGTGAGGAGAGGGGAAGTGGCTTTGTGGGCCAGGACAGAGGGAATATTGCATGCGAGGGCCAGGGCAATATTAGGAAGATGATACGGAGTCGTTTGGATGATAAAACATTGGGTTTAGGTTAGATTGAGGTAGAACTATGTAGGGTCTCTGAATGAAAGCCAGATGATGAAACTGGATATGGTAAAAAGCAATGAGCTAGCTAGCAAGGAGCCTCAGAAAGAGCACTGCCAGAGGAGAGAGGTGGAGAAGGCAGTTTTCTTGCTATTGTAGAACTAGTATTTAGTTACAGTAATGATACTGTGTATTTGTACATCACCTTGCTTGAAAGCATGTGCTTATTTATCACCCTTTCCCCTCCAGATATTTAGACGCTTCATCATAAAGAAATATGTGTTGCTGACTTTTGGGGGAGCTTTTTTTGCTATTCAGACTTCTGAAGCCTAATTCCAGTATTTTTCCTTTCGGTACTGCCTGACAAGAAACAGTAAGGCCATTAGCACACATGCTACGGGAACAGCTCTGCTCAGTCCCCTAAAAGGGCAGCATGCCCCAGCAGAGCGTCCTGTTTTCCATGTGCACGGCAACGTCCAAGTGGAGCTCAGTGAACCAGCTCCCTCAGAGCTCTCTTAAGAGTTATTGTAAATACTTGTCCAAGTCACAGAGTTGTTACACCCTGGAACAGGCCATAGGTTACATGCAAAGGTGCTTAATTTTTTTTTTTTCCCTTTTAAAAAGTAAATATTTAGAATTATTATTGTGAAACACCAATGAAGTTTAAAAAAAAAAAAAGAGAGCAAGTGAGCTTTATCTTGATCAAAGTGCACTGCTGTGCGCTTCCCCTTCAGCGCGCTGCTGGTGCCCTGGCAAGCTGCCCGAAGGAGCCAGCGGCAGCCGGCGGCTCAGGTTGCAGTTTGTACACCTGACGTGTAGCTGAGGACCAGGGACTCCTGCTCAGCGTGGGAACGGCTTTGCAAAGCCACCATCCTCGGCCTTACAGTACTTAATTAAAATACCTCATCTAGGGGCTGTTTATTATGGCAGCACCAACCTGTGTGTTGTGCTTTTTGTTCTTCCTCTTCCCCCCCCCCCCCCTCGGATGTGTTGCATGCAGTCAGTGAGGCACCGCGTGGGTTGCTGCTCTTAGACACTGACAACTGAGGAAATTAAATTCTGAGGCGGAATCAGTTAAAAGCCTGACTAAATCAGTGTTGGTTTTCTATGGCAACTGAAACGACATTATTAAAGGATAAATTTTTATTGCTAATTAATTTTTTTCAAGAGAGTAAGTTTTTTGCATTTTGTTTTTACCAGGACCCTCTTAAATACATTTTGGGTTTTGTTTGGTTGTTTGGATTTTGTTATTGGGTTTTTGGTTGGGGTTTTTTTGTTGGATTTTGGGTTTTTTGTTTGGTTGGTTTTTTTCAAAAAGACAGTACAAGTAATTGACTTCAGTAGGATACTAGTAGATAAAAGCAGCGATAGACTGCAGTTCCAGCTTTGTATAAAATAATGTGCCTTTCAAGTGCTTGGCACCGTTAGCATTACTGTTTTGTGCAAGAAGAAATCTATATTTATATGGTTATTCATACTTGAAAAAGCTCATCATATTTGTAAAATCCATAGTGACAAGTTCGGATTTAAAAACTTCAGACAATGGAGCATTTGCTTATACTGTTTAAACAACTCTTTTGACTGTACTGGGCAAAATCTTGCATTTTTGTTCAGGTAAACTCATCAAAAGAAAACCGTAAGGATTGTCTGACCCCACAGATGCTTACACATATGTTTTGGTTTCTTCGGTCTCTCTCCTTCAACGTGTCTACCTATAAGTGAAGCATGGGCAAAAGTTGTTACAGAACTAGGTCTTACTGTACAAAGTTATTAGAAAAATTGAAAGGATGCCCTGAAAGTACAGGAAAACCTATGGAAATGCATAATTGCAATGATTGCTGCTTCTCCCCACTGTTTTGTGTATCTTTTCCCTTATATACCATATTGCATATTAAGTTTTATAGAGCACTGACTGTTGTTTTATAAAAGCATGCTCCTTGTTATCACTAAAAGTAGTGATATCCTTAGTAGATGTCGTACAGTCTCAAATGATGTTTTCTTTGGGAGGGCAAAATCCTATTTGGGAGGAAATCATCCCCTCTTAAGGGAGCTTAAAAGGGGGGTGATTATAATGGTAGAAATTGTTGGTATCAGTGTTCAGAATGGTTGTATGTTTTCTCATCCTATGAGTGCATACGTGTATTTACAATAGGGTTTTATGTTGCATTTGCTTAAAAAAACCCCACTGAGCTAAAAAGTTTGAAAGGAACAGCTTGAGGAATTTTTTCCATCAAGATACAATCAAGGGCAGGAAATCGTAGAAGCAGAGTTGTGGTTTTGCCTCCATTTTTTTATTAGTTAATTAAACTATAACAACTCTTAACTTCATTTTAGGTTAACTGTTCCTAGAGTTCAGAAATATTTTAAGAGGTCAATAATGCTTTCTTTGGCTTTCGCTCATTCGGTGTGGGATAAGGAGTCGCAGTCAGCAGGGCAGAGTTTTCCAGATGTGCTGCAGAGCGTGTGTGCGTGCGCTCATGTCGACAGTTGTTGACGGTGGGAAACCATCCATCTTTCCTCATCTGCGCACCACCCTCTACGGATGGAAACCACAGGAAAGAAACGTGGATAGGCTGACATCTGTAAGCAAACTTACAGTATCTGATTAAAGCTCTGGAGCCCTGAGTACTTACAGCTACCAGTTGACATGCGTTTTTACTCGATGATGGAGAGGTGCCGAGTCTGAGTGAGAATACTGGGGGAGGGGGAATCCAAAGGGAAAAACATGAGGCGATAGGTGTGTGTTTAGTTTTGCCAGAAGCAGAAAAAACTCAAAGACCTCATTGTACATTGCAGCATGGGTTTCTCTGTGAAGTCGGGATGTTTCTTTTTTTAAAGTGCCGTGAGGAATCTTGTCTGCATTTTCTTCTCGGCACATAGAGCTGCATAGAGGCGTGCGCTTAAAGGGCATCTGAGGGAAGCAAATAGAGCCATGCGAGTGTCACATAACTGTCTTTAATAACGGGAGCTATTCCAGCACTTGGAGCCAAATTGTCTTTCAGCAGTAAGGATAAAATTTAGCAGAGCTGGGAAAAGGAAAGAAGAAAGGGGAGGGGAAACACAGCACCACCTCCTGCTGACACCACAGAAGTTTCCCCCAGCTTTCCCTCTCTCTCCCTCTGTGCATATATTTTCTTTTTAATCAGCTGGGGCTCTTCCCTCCCCTGTTTTTTTTTTTTTTTTTTTTTTTTTTATACTGTATTTTTATAGTTTGAATTCTGCTTTCCTAATTTCTCTTGTTTCACATTTAACTTCTTCAGAGAATTTCATTAATAGTTATTGCAATTAAAAATAATAAATAAACTCAGCACCAGCTGCTCAAATGGCTGTCATAGCATATCTGGAACATAATGCGGTCTGTTCAGGGCAGCCACACAATGCAATTTATCCCCACACCTGAGGGAATGAATTCCACAACTGTAATTGCTACAATATAATTCTTATTAATGTTGTGCTATAATTCCTATTAATTCCAAAGGGCTAGTAAATGCATTAGGACTTGTCAACATATTATTTTACACTGTTTATGATCTGTAGAATTACGCTCTTCAGTATTGTATTGCATAAAGAAAAGCCTTAAAATTAGCTTTAATTGCGGGGGGGAAAAAACACATTTTCTGTGTTTGGGCACTGGGAAAGGAGGAGGGATCCTGGTGTTTGAGGAGTAATGAAACTGCGTTTTAAAATCAGTCCTGTGAACTTTCTGTGCCATGCAGTTAACAGTTTATGAAGATATATTAATAATGCCTGTCCTGGTTATTAGAAAAAGAACCAGTGGTGTCTTTATGAAGGAATAAATAACTGTAAGATAGGTTTATAAGATAGGTTTATAAAATCAAAAATAACTTGTCTTCCAGCAAAGACAAAAGTGGGGAAATTACAAGTCATTGTAACTGATGTAATAAATGCAGAATGTGTTATCTTGCTGTGCTCTTATTTATTCTTGTTTTATCTCACTACGCTGCTTTTCTAGGTAGTGAATATGATGAGGAGGAAGTAGACTATGAAGAATCAGACAGTGATGAGTCCTGGACTACAGAAAGTGCTATCAGCTCTGAAGCTATCCTTAGTTCAATGTGCATGAATGGAGGGGATGAGAAACCCTTTGCCTGTCCCGTTCCTGGATGTAAAAAAAGATATAAGGTAAGGAGTAGTATGAGGGGGGGGGAGGAAAGCCTCTAAAATCGATTTGTACCTTTCTCGTTTAATATACTTTTCACATTTATTTTTGTGGTATTTTAGCAGAGCACATGTTTTATTCACTGGTTTCCTCTCAAGCCCAAGCCAAGTTACCTGTTTTACAAAGGATGTAGCCTTTCGCATCCCTGTCTGTCAAGAGAGATTACATATGGTGACTGTTCTGCTTTACACATTTTAACTAGCTTTCTATTATTTAGACAAATTAACTGCAGAATGCAGGAGGCACTACCAGCAAAATAATCTCTTGGATCCCTTTTAGAGACACTAAATAAAAAGTTTCTGCCCATCGGTGCCAGAATTAATTCCTTCTGCTTAACTGCTAGAGATACTGCCTCTGCTCCAGTTAGAACTGTACCCAGGGTACTTTTCCTGGTAAAGGTGATGTGCGGAAGGTGGCAGTGAACATTTTGCAAGTCGGAGGTCACCTCAGGAAGGCAGAGTCTTGGAGAAACTCTAGCATCGTTCTGTCCTGGGTCCGAGTCCCCATGACCCGTTATGCACAGCTGTCAGTGTGTCTGGCCCTGCATGCAGGGCTTGCATCCCTCTGCATGACATGCTGGGAAACAATTCCCCCCTCCGCTACCCACCCACCCCACCCCCTTTTTTAATTACTCTCCGTCATGAAAAATTTTTGTCCCTTTCTGGGAGTGAAACGTCTTTAACTTTGAACCTTGAGCTGGCTGGTATAGAACGTGCCGTGATCTTGTGAGGACAGGAGTATTGTTTCACATGAACCGGTGCAGGGACAGATGAAATTGTATTGAACAGCTTGGATTTCAGTGTGGTATTCTATAGTCATTGAAATTTGGGAACAGAAATAGCATTGTTGGCACAGTTCCTCTAAATCATTTTCTGTTTTTTTGCATGAAATACTGGAAAGTTCAACCACTGACCTATATAGAAAAAGCAGTGGTGGTTGGGTTGGTTTTAGACTCGTTTTATTTTATGGATTCTCCTTTAAATAACTGAAATGTAGGGACTTAAAAGCTAACAGAAATATGAAAGAGAAATATAGGGAGACCAATAACATTTGAGATAAAACAGTTGTGACAAGAATGAATAAACTGTTCATGACATCGTGTAGTAGACGAAAACGTGTTTCGGTGATGCTGCAGCTGTTCTGGACTGTGGCAGCTCCCATAGCAGCAGATCACAAGACTGGGTTTCCTCTACAGATCAGTTAACACTGACAATACTTACTTAAAACATGAGCAGGAAAGCAGTGTGCTCATTTCTTAGTGACATACAAGTCTTGTTTTGCAAAGATGAGCCTTAGCTATGTAATGGTTATTCTCTTTGGTTAACAGGAAAAGCTGAACACCATCTCCGGGGCAGGACAGAGTTAACGATGTTTTCAGACTATTTACAAGTATTACTTTGCAGATATACCCATGTTATTCAAGATTAATACTTTTCTTGTGTGTGGTAGAAGCTGTGCCAGATGAAGGCTGTAGTATAAAAGCTAAATCCCTAGCTCAGGAAGCAAACAAGCCACGGTGATCGTTAGAAGTCACTGTGCCCACAGGGCATCTATACATTGCAGAAAACATTCACTTAATGGCAAAGGCTAGAAGGAGAACCCTGTAATTTGCTATATCCTGTCTGTTCTCTGTTTGACTGCCAGCCCTCTGTCTTTTTATTGCCCAAATAAGCAAGCTGTTTCTGCCTGCTTCTGCTATCTCACTACCTTCATCTCAAATGCATGAGGACTGTCTGAGGGATATCTTATATGCCATTAATGTTAGAACAGTCGGACAGGGAACAAATTAACAACCCTTAGAGAGGCTGACAGACAGAGAGCAGCAGCAAATAAAAAGTACCGTATTTTCCTAAGAGACTCACCTCTGTTTAGTCCTGATAGGAAAACACATTTCCTTAAACTCTGCCTCACCTCATTTCTCTTTTCTGTGGGCTCTGTTTCCTCCCTTTTTTTTTTCAGCCTGATTTTTTTTCTTTTTGCATTTTCATCTTTGTTTCCTTCCTTTAGCTTTGTGTCAGCTGTGTTTCTTGTTTCCTCTTCATCTTCCTTCTGCTTAGCCCACCCTCCCCACCCCCCGATGAATTATTTGCGGAGTCTGGGTAGGGAGTCCTGTGATCAAAGCACTGGGATTTTCTGGTGGGTACTGGATAATCACAGTCAGGGTTGTAAAACAATTATATAGCTCCAAACAGGAACACGGACATGCACATACAGTAATTGCCAGGCTCACTTTACAGCTGAGAAAGGATGCATTCCTTTAGGGAGCGAGGAGGAAAGGAGGATATACACAGTTTTCTTTTGTCTGGCCTTAGGTGACGTACATTTGAGGAGTAGAAACGTTATTTTTAGATGTGTTATTTGTATTACAGTACTGCTTAAAGGACCCGGTAGGGATGGGGCTCCTTTTTGCAAACAATGTATAAGGATAAAAGATGGCCTCTGCACTGAAAAGTCATTCTGGAAAGGTAAATAAGACAAGAATGAGTACAACAAATACTCCCAAGGAATGGGCTGGGGCGGACAATGGAAACTGTAATGAGAACATGTTTATATGCAAGCCCAGATGAGTATCAGAAGACCCTACTGGCCTCCTGCCCAGCTGCTATCTCTTGGCGGTTTCCCATAGGCAGTGCAGTAGAAGTGAGTCATAAACATTTAGTTGTTCTTCAGGAACTTTATTTTTTTTTAACAAATGAAATTGCTTGCTTATAATATGTGTTGGTACTCTATGTAGTATGGCACAGATTCTCCTGAGGAGATGAAGATTCAGGGGGGAAAAAGCACCTTTTTTTTTAATGTTATATAAATTTGTGGGATAGTCAGAAACAGCTAAATTAATCTGGAGCACACTGACTTCTAGATGCTTAAAACACAAGCCTCTGAACTAATTTCTGAAGCTTGCTTTCTTCTCTAATTTTGGTTACTGACCTAGAGAACAAACTACAAGTATTTTATATTTTGCCATTTACAGATTTTTTTTTTTCATGTGATTTGTATTTGATGCCTTAAATTTGATTTTTAGAAAATCATCTACATGATTCAGAGGAACCCAAAGATCTCAGCCTTGTTTCTGTGGAATTCGCCCTCACCAGATTTTGGATTTACATCCATATTTAGGCGCCCTGTCCAGAAGCGTGTAGGTATTGAGTAGTTAACGTCCTTTGCAAAATGCCACCCATAGGAGTTAAAAGTGTGGATTTATGAAGGTGGCAATCAGTTTTCCTTTTATTCAATACCGCCTGTGTGTGCCAGTTATTTGGTCTGTAGCTCTGGAGAAGGGCATTCAAAATATGTGTATGATGTAGGTAAACTTACTCAGGCAACTTCCAAAGAGCAAATGAAGTTTGATACATAATAGATAGATACAAAGAAACCCAAATATAATGCATGTATACTATTCTAGAGAAAACCCTAGGGTATTTGTTACACTTTTTCTAGTTTGTGCAAAAACAATAAAAGAGAATAATGTATTTCCCTGCATACAAAATGTAGCTCAGGAGAGATCATCCCTGCCAAGAACACCAAGGCACTGGGCTTTTCTTTCTGGCAGGTAATGGGATGGGGGTCCTAGGCCTGTCGGGTGGGGCAAACCCCTGGGAAGGCTGATCTAAGAGCAGTGAGACTCAGCAGAGCTTAGGGAGGGAGAATATTGACATGAGAGAGAAAGAAGGGTATTTACTTGAAGGAAAAGAGCAAGCCAGAACTTGCAAGTTGAGCAAAGAGGAACTGGATCCACAAAGAAAACTTCAGGAGGAACAGCCAGGAGATACAAAAACATATGTGAACGTCCAAGTCTAAAACAAGAAATCCTCCCAAACCATCCTTGATGTTTCTTTGCCTACTCGAAGGGGGTGGCAAGCTCTCTGCAGTGTAGTGGCTTCATGAGTACTGCCGTGCGAGGGGCCCTGCCCAGCAAGCGTCGTTGTGTCCATGCAAACCAGGTAGTGCCAGTCTAAAGTTCTTTATCTCCTCCTGATCTGGTCCCAGGTTAATAATTGTTTCCACCTGTTTAAGATTTTAGAGTGCTTTTCTATACTGCCATCTTCTTCCTCAATCATTTGTTCAGAGTAAATAATGAGCAACCTAAGTAACCAGAGCAATAAAAGTGATGTATGAGTTTGGCAGTGGGGTTTGCCATACCCCAACAAATTCAGCCCAGGCATACAACAAAGTGTTTACATTATGGCAGTGGAAAAAGTGCTGAAGAGTCGACTGCAATTCTAACAACAGTTTTCTTTTAGACAGGAGTGCAGGTCAAATTTCACGTTACACTAGCTCCTCATACTCTGCGTGGTTTACTATTTTTCAAACTTTCCATGGCCCAATTCATTCCACATAGGTTTCTGGTTTAGCATTTCCTTAAATTTTTCTGCCTGAAAGTACTTTTCCCCCTTCATCAAAGCGCGTGGTGTGCTTGAGGCCGAGTGGATCGTTAAAAAATCTGGATCGGGAGAGAAGGTTACCGTGGGCGTGGAATAGTGAGGATATTTGTGATTGCACATTTACGGCATCTGTAGCGATTGATACTAGTTTAGAAGTATCTTAAAAGTAATTTCTTACAAAAACTAGAAGTCTAAACAAGTTTCTGTAGTTTCCAAAATACATACAGGGTTTGGGGATAGCTTTGTTTTAAAATTTCACTGCAGTAGCAAAAGTTTAGCAGGTCACACCCAGATTTTCTCTTCTTCGAAGGCGCAGGTGCTTAACGGTACTTAGGTGTTGAGAGATGCCTTCTGACAGTCCTCACGCCACCCAGTGACACTCCCGGCCCCATCACCCCAGCAGTCCTACAGGTGCTGAAGTTTGTAACCATGCGCAAAACCATCCAAAAACTGCCTCAGGATCTCAGCTAACTTGCAGGAATTCACTTGACTGCTCTTGAGGGCGATTTGTAGCTTTGATGTGCTCTTGTCTGTCTTGGTGGTACAGCATTCTACCTCTGCTGGGTACTCTTCACCCAGAA